ATATAATAAAATTGTAACTCATTCGAATCTGTACATTAAATATTTTTTGGAAAATCTTATTGAAATAATCATTATTTTCGATACAAAGGCAGAATCTACAGTTTTAAGAATTTTTATCTGTCTGTCTGTTACCGCATCACAGAAAAACTACTGGAGGGATGAAATTTGGTATGGTGATAACTGGCTATCCGGGTCAACATATAGGATACTTTTTACCGCGGGAAAATATCTAATTTCTGAGAAAAAATACAAAAACTGCGATGTAAGAGTATACTAATATGTAAAACCTAAAAATGTGGTTTTTGGTCATCTTAACGCGGGCGGAGCCTCGGGCAATGCTAGTTTTAAATACGTTTACTTTCTATTACCATGATCTGAGAACCTATCGATGTACTTTACATGCTGCACTGCATAAGATATCCCATCGAATGCAGCGCAGTGCCAAGGATTACTTACCATTTAGTGATCTGTAAGCACATATTCAACCGTGGACCTGAGTTCTTTTATATGTAAAAATATTTCTTTACTTTATGAATTAGTTTTATTCATAAAATTCAAACAAACAGTATTCCAATTTTGCCTTATGCAATTGGGCAGAGAGTAGCTTGTGTAATTATAGAGCACCAATTTGTGCTATAATTTGTACTAACATTGCTTCAAATTAATTAATTACAAATATCATAAAAAACGATCTGGTACATTCAGCCTCTATGGTTCTATGATTAATTGTGGACTTCGTTTTCTCTGAAACGTCAGCTTGAGATAAAGAAAATTAATTGAATGTTAAGAATAATTGTACGTAAAAATGTTGTGCTCGATTTAAATTATTTAATGTAAGCAAAGAAATTTCTTTCTATACGTCAAGTTGTTTAAACATAATAGGTAATTATTTTATAAATTTTGTTTGGCATAATAAAGCAACCCGGAATATTATGTGAATGAAAAGAAAAATCTTGTGTTAAAGTTACAAAAAGATTTGTAATTTAATTTCACTTTTTTCTACAGTTATGAAGTAAAATTATAAAGTTGGAACGCTTTGTATATATTAAAAGTTCTAAACCAGTACATATTATTAGCTTCGTTATATTAAAAAAAAACTGTAAGTGGAATTACTTTTTGATTTACGTCACCAAAAGCAAAAGGTAAATCATTCAACTTTAAACATTGACATTAGGTAGATTTTAAAATATAAACTACATATATTTTCTTAAAGTAGTCCATACAAATTAAGGTACGCCTGCATAATTTTACTTCTATAATTAGAGTACATAAAAAGGCCACAGCTTCGGAGAACTCAAAACGGCACAGCTGACTGTCATGTTCGTTGCATGTGGTTTTTGAACTGACCGAGTATACTCTAGCACGTGTATACCCACTTTGAGAATGATAAAGATAATGGCATGGCTTATTTATTATAATTACTAATAAATAATAATCATAAATTAATCATTGTGACGTATCGATTAAATCATAGAAATGAATCATAGTCATAGAGCAGACCAAGTGTTTCTTTGCCAGTCGTCAGCTAAAACTGGCGAAAAGGCACGACAGAGAAAAATCTAATGTGCGGCTTCTTCCGTATTAATTGAAATACGATTAATGAAGATAGGTATTTATAACCATTTTACATTCCATGTATTGGCCGCACATTCGCTTTCTCTCTTTCTGTAGAGTGGTCAATTTCATGAGGGTTATTTCTCAGTTCATTCTCTAAGTCTATGCATTGAATACACAAGATGCCAATAGGTCAATTTATCATCTGTCAATATCTAATAGTTTGGGGTCCCGAGCTATGTGGACCCTTTATTCTTTTGCCAGGCGAAATATATTTTTTAAATAATATAACATAAAAACAAACGATCGATCGAGCTATCCAGGGGGGTTGTCACCAAAAATTTGCTCTAGACTATTTTTTATTAAAAGTCCTCTAGCATGGAGATATTTTGGTATAACAATCCTTTTATCTATATTTTGATATTTGGTTGGTTCCGGAATGTTTTCATAGACAAACAAAGAATCTCTTGAACAAATCTCGACGAAACTGGGAATAATATGAATTTCATACATTTTTTGGCAGAAGAGAATTTCATTTATTTCAAGAGAGCCATATTTCACTTGTCACAGGTACATATAGCTATAATGAAGTTTCTGTGTGATAACTAATAGCTATAGCAAAATTCTAATATAGACGGTTATATCTATAATCAATGATGAAACTATTTCGATTTACACTCTATTATTCCTGGGGTCGACATAAAAAAAATCGAACACTTTCTTACCACTACCTATTGGAAGCTTTTGATAATAACCTGTCAGTGACTGCCGAACCACAGGTGGCTCGGTTAACAATTGAATTCTTAGAAATTAACCGCGAGGTGATAATAATTCATCGATTCTTGTTACTGCACACTACGTGGATAAGAAATATATTACATACAAGTAAATTATGAAAGCTGTTTTTCAAGTTGATTTTGTAAAATAATGCTTACTTTTATAACATTTTTACTCTGCCTTTTCAACGAACCTGGTATATTCCGTGACGCGTCTAATAAATTAATGGCGTCAGGCGTGCTGAAATAACCTGAGCTTTAAGTTTCCAACGCCTTTTCTTTCATAAATTTGTGTCAAGATATTTTCTTTCATTGTTGATAATAAAATTTATTATACGCCCGAAGTAAATTAAAAATAATATATTTTATTAAAGCTAGGAGCTTTACTTAGGCCTTTGGACGTGAAAGGTAACGAACGAGATTTGTCAAAATATTATAAAAACATTCCACTGAAATGAATATGTTAAACCTAACGATGAGCTGTTAGCTGTTTTACAAAGGATAATTTATCCTTTGTTTTTAAAAGGGGAACGTCAAAGTTAGATTCATTGTTTGTAGATAAATTTTTACCTTGGAATATTTTATGAATTTAGCAAACTTTATCATTTTATATTCATATTTAATATTAAATATAAATAAATAAATATAAATATGTTGGGACATTAACACACAGCACCATCTAGTTCCATGGTAAGCATCGAGGCCTGTGTTATGGATACCAGAAAGTTGATACACTACACATAAATAACTTTAAATGCATATTACATATTATAAATATAAACATCCATGAATGGAGCACATTCGTGCTACACAAATGAATGCCCCCAGTGGGACTCGAACCCGCGAGCGCTGCCACAGCAAGTAGGATCGCTACAAACTGAGCCAAACGTGTCGTCACAATATTCATTTCGGTAAGTATTTTTAAATCTATTCTCTAGTTTGTTGGCGGCTTCGAGCCCATTAACTGTCTCCCTCAGTTTTATCATTTATTAATCAGATTTATTGCGGAGATATCTGTAGTCGAATAATAATGGCTATTTATTATATAACTTTATGGTAATAAATTGCTGTCATAAATTGTTATAAGAAACATGAAAATAAAAAATAATTAACGACTAGAAATTCATAATATTTTATTTGTTTATATTTATTATTTACAAGCTACACTTTACAATATGTACAAATATGGATATGTAAGGAAAAACTATTACAAATAAAGATCATATAAAGTACTAAATATATAAGATATTCTTACAGCTTTCATTGTTTGTTCTTAGAATGTAGACAAGATGTATATACTAACGCTACTTAAACGATAAAAAATATATTGAAATGATGATGTAAAGCAAAATGTGTCGAAATTTCTGTTACCGATGTTAATTTCGAAAGTAAACTTATTTATGGAGGTTTTTTACGTTTTTTTACCATTTATTTATCGAGTAGCTACATAGTTTAATATACATATATGTCTCGTTTTATTAATTAACAAGCAAGTATAGGTACTTGTTGTTAGGATTTTTGAGAATATTAACTATTTAAAAAAAATTAAATTCATTTAAATATATAAATATAATATATAAATGAATATGTATGTTGGTAAATTAACACACAGCGCCATCTAGTTCCATAGTAAGCTACGAGGCCTGTGTTATGGATACCAGATAGTTGATACACTACACATATATAATTTCAAATATATACATATTATAAATATAAACACCCAAGACTAGAGTACACACATTCGTGCTCATCACACAAATGAATGCCCCCAGTGGGACTCGAGCCCGCGACCGCTGGCACAGCAAGTAGGGTCACTACAAAGTGAGCCAAACGTGAAAATTTAAATAACTAGTATCTATCTGTTGTGAATCGTGTGTGTGTGTGTGTCTGTAGTGTACTTTTATCAGCAAAAATATACATTTTTTTATAGGTACCTATTTTGTATAATGTCGATTTGATTATTTATTGTAAAAGTAAGTACTCACAAATTTAATAACATAATATTAAAGGCTTTTCTAATTTAAATTCGTGAAATAATTTAATAAAAGCATTGGATATTTATATAAATATATTTTTATTACTGTGTTTAATGTAGCTCAGGTAACTTTGTAGATGAAAACATGAAATTGACATTAAGAATTTATTTTATACACTGGTATTTAAGCAAAACAAAAGTAAACATTTCAATTATAACATAAAATTAACTTAGCTTTAAAATTGTTTTCCTGATATTCAAAGTATTTTCTTTGCTTAACAGAAAAAAATATTTATTCTATCAAAATTCCCTTAATTAATCAAATGTTGATAATATTACATTAATATTTGTTTGGTGATAATAGTCTTATAATTCAACAAATTATAATTCTGATAAAAATGGTAACTAAACAAACTTGTGTTATCTTAAACTAAAAATTTTGTCTACTTAGCAAATATTTACGTACCGTAGGTAGCGATAGTTAAATTACTAATAAAACTAAATTTTCTTAGAAGAGGCAACATTGTTGCAGGGCGTATTCACATTGGAATTTCAACCTTACTCCATGTCAAGTTATTAATAAACGTAATAGCGGAATTTTCTAACACTTAAAGAGTTAACCCTTTCCGTAGAAAGCTTCTACGTTTTTTAACATAGATTTTTAATATATAAAGAAGAACTAAACTATAATTTTAATTGGTGGATTGTTTCCTTTTTTTCCCTGTGATCTTCAACAGTCGCACCGCTGGTGCTTCGAATGCCAAGGAAATGGCAAATGACGCCAAGAACGCCATGACCGCATACCCCGCGTATATCGCGAGCTGAAATTAAATTTAATTACATTATTAAAAAAATAATAATAGGTTGCTTATTAATAATAGTAATAAGGTCAACTTTAAAAAACAATGGAATTCGTGACTCCAGTGTATTTTTTTGTCCTTAAGTACATCGTTTCTTTATGAAAATCGTTTATAATTGGTAAAAATATAGGATTTTTACCAATTATAAACGATTTTCGCGATTAATTTAATGAATAGTTTATAAGCTCTATGGTAGACTCATATAAAATCAATCCTTAAAGATAAAAACTTAAAAAACATAAACCTTTTTAGTGAATTTGAAGTTAGATATGTATTTTTTTAAATTTAATCAATAATCGTAGTCCAGCATCGTAGAGTACTATAATAGTCCATATGCTTTAAACATTCCATTATCGATTTAGAGTGCTCGATAGACCATGACTAATGTTCTCAGGTAGCCTAATAAATTCCGAGTCAAAGGACGTAACTGTCTCATATGAATTCGAAAAACAAACTTGTTTATAATGAAAATGCCTAACGTCTTCAACTCGGGCTTATTATCTGAATGCTAATAAAATTATAAAGCTCTTTCGATTAAATCAAAAGACCTATTTATATGTTAAGTAAACAAATATATGTAGCAATAAGGAGATAAAAATTGATAAGCACACCATATTTACTATATTTTATACTTGTATTTTGGTAGCTATGGTGTTTGGTAAATCGAAGTTCCATGTTTTCTTAGAACAAATATTTGTAATGCCATTTATGGCCCACAGATCCTAAGAATAATAGAAGGTTTCCTGCAAAGGGCTCTTAAGGGAAAAGCGTTATCATATATTTGCTTACATTTTTCTCCTATTGGGCTTAAAATAAAAGTTGATTATTGCTTAGGATCCTAAGTACTAAATCAAAACTTAACAATTTTTTTTTAATATAATTGTTTAAATATTCTGTTAGTTTATACCTAACACATAACATTCTTCACAGATTTTTACAACTAGTTAGATTCTATTACGATACTTGTAGGTTACCTCGATTTCTTTATCGTATTAACAGGTGGTAATCATTTTGAAAATAATTCGCTTATATATGTAACTCAAACTTGTTTCTCTTGGACTAAAGAACTACAATTGCTGTGATATTAAAAATATATAGAGATATTAAATCCAGTAATATGTGGAATACATAAAATATGAAGCTCTACTTCGATAGGCTTGCTCATACCGTCGAAGCTAAGAATAGATTTTCTATTATGTACAATATTCACTCGAATGTGTACCCGAAGTTAAGGGATATATTACCAAACCGAACAGATTTAGAGCTTAAATACTCGTAGTTTTGCGCTTTTATATTCCTTTATTTTTTCGCTTAGTCCTAATGTAAGAAACATTATTGTACACAACACATTAACATTGTAATGTATTACACAAACTTAACATTATGAACATATAACCTACTAATACAGTGACATATGTACTTATGTTATTTCAGACTATTTTAATTTATAAGTTACTAGTATTGTCCGCGGCTCCGCCCGAGTTCAGATGACCAAGAACGAAATTCTTAGGTTTTACATATTAGTATAGTACTCTTACATTGCAGTGTTTGTATTTTTTCTCAAAAATAAGATATTTTCCCGCGGTAAAAAGTATCCTATATGTTGACCCGGACAACCAGCTATCACCATACTAAATTTCATCAAAATCCCTCCAGTCGTTTTTCTGATGCGGTAACAGACAGACAGACTAAAATTCTAAAACTATAGATTCGGCCTCTGTATCGATAATAATGTTTATTTCAATAAGATTTTCCAAAAAATATTTAATGTACAGATTTGGCTTAGTTACAATTGCATTATATGTAGCTAGTGCAGTAATATTAGTTTTTAAAATATATAACAGATACTTTGTAATATTATAGCAGTAAGCTCTTATGTTGCAAACTCAAGCGGCTCAACGGATTTAAGTGAAATTCAGAATAGATAGCTTTGATTCTGAATTATTACTTACTTTAAAATGATGTACCTATTACACGAGCGGAGCTGCAGGCAAAAAGTAATTATTTATTTACATAAAATTAATTTATCTTTCTTATCTTCGCTCTAATTCTTATACAAGCCAGGTTTCAAATCTAAGAATTTTCAATCTGCAGCATCTATATAACTAATAACTACACCAATAAAGCAATAAAGTTAGTAGTATTTTCTAAAATATAAAATAAATTTAAGTTTACCTATACCCTTAAATATTTAAATGTCGACTAAGCAATGTTAAAGCAACCTCGAACCTCGAAAATTTATAAATAATTAAATTTTCGAGGCCTTTATCGCTACTGTATAAGCAACGTCAAACTTACGAGCTAACTATTTTATGTACTCTACGTGGCGCAACCACAAGTAACAAATTACTAAATACAGGCATAGTATCCATTTTAATTGCTGTCTCACATTACCACAACATCGCAGTATAAGCACAATATTAGGACTCACATGTCTACAATTAACGATATACTAGTAACCAAATTATTAGATATAGAAAGATAAGTATATGATTTATTAATTAAGTATACGATATTATGAAAATATAAATTATGAATGAGGTAATATAGATATCTGGATTTAACTGGTACATACATACATATAAAGGTAGAAAAAAGTTAACTGACTAAGGTGCAATTTTTATTACCTTAATTTGTCAACTTATGACATGTCCGGCAATGGCAATGTCCGGTTATATGTTTATGTAAGAAAATTAATAATATACAAAATTAAATTCTCAAGCTATATAGTAAACTAGCGACTCACCCTCGTTCCGCTTAAGTTCGTCCCTACTTACGTTTTAACGTTTAGTATAGATTTCTCAAAGATTAGATATTTTCCTGCAGTAAAAAGTATCCTGTGTGTTGACCCGGATAATCAGCTATCATTATACAAAATGTCATCATATAGTGGTTTTTCCGTGATGCGGTAACAGACAGGCAGATAGACAGACAGATAAAAATTCTAAAAACTATAGATTCAGTCCGTATCTATAATAATGTCTATTTCAATAAGGTTTTCCAAAAAATATTTAATGTACAGATTCGTCTTAGTTACAATTTTATTATATTTGTAGAAAAAGGATGTTAATAATAATTGAAATCGTAATTATATAAGAAAAAAATATAGTAATTACATGAGAAAAAAAATACATATAAATACTTACAACCATAGAGTTTTGTAAATGTAGGGGTCCATCCAATAAGAAAACAGTGTACATCATGATGGTGGGATGCACTAAATAGGAGCAGTAGGTCAGTCTGCTGAGAGGTAGAAAGCCGCGATATGAAAGGGCGGAGTTGATCAGACCTCCGTACCCGCAACAGCACGCAACAGACACCCATGCTAATGCTACTCCCCATGCTATATGTAACAAAATAATCTATTATTAATAAGTTTTAAACTTATCGATAGGTGGAACTGTGAAATACATTGAAGGCAAAGACTATACATACATAAAAAAATACTATTATATACGTTTTCGTACAATATATAAAGGCTTCGTTATGAATTGCAACATTAGTTACATCATAATATAAATATCATGTAAGGTACAGGAAAGGATAATGAAGTCTACGGAAAAGGTACTGTAGTCACGAGGGCGCAGTTAAGGCCTTAGCAAAGCGAGATCGGGTCGCTTTATCTGATACATAATATTTAGCAAGTATGTACTTTAACTTGCCTCGGTCGTCTCTCAAATAAGGAAAATAAAGCCTTAACTATATATTATAATATTAAATGACCATTTTTGTATATATGTAAATATATTTCGTGCATCTTGGAAACAGCTCTACGTTTTGGATCAAATTTTGTATGTAATATATGTGCAGGTTTTGCTTTTTAAGTTCATCTATATTCTTTTCTAAAAAAACGCAGTTTTTACATCTTTTCCGACAAAACACGATTTTACAAAACACCGAGGGAAGCTCTTTTGCCCAGGTACTAAACATTAAAAATGTATAGTTCTTTGTTCAACAATTATGCATTCATTAGATTATATTTATTATTATTATATTATTATATTATATTTATTTATTGTATCCCGATTTGGGGCGGAGCTCTTAAAACGAAGTTCATTGAACTTGAAAGCGCACAACGTGCTCTAATAAAATGTATGTACTTTAAAAAACTTACATTTCCAACTGAGAATCTGTACCAAGTTAGCACACTGCTCTCAGTTAGAAAGCTGTATATTACTCAAACCATACTAAAAGCACATAAGGCTATTTCCTATGATGCGTCTTTAACATTAAAAAGACGAAAAGAAAACATAATAAAAACTTTTTAATAAACAAATAAAAACCGAAAACAAAAGCACTAAAAAGTAAAAAATAACTGATTGGTAGTTTTCATTTACTATACATACCTAATCAAATATATTCGAAGTCGGTGTGCTTTGCTTTATATGGCCTGGCACCGATTTCGAAAATATTTGATTAGGTATGTATTTAATAGGTAGGCTTTAATTACTTAGCCAAAGCACACCGACTTCGAATATATTTGATTAGGTATGTATAGTAAATGAAAACTACCAATCAGTTATTTTTTACTTTTTAGTGCTTTTGTTTGAAGTCGGTTTTTATTTTTTTGTTAAAATGTTTTTATTTTTCCCTTTTTAGTGTAGACAGTAGTAGCAAAGTAAGAATTCTAACGTATTAGGCTTGTCAAATCAAACAAAACAAGCCCAAACTCAAAATATCTACTATTAGCCGTTGAAGAGTTCCACCTATCCACCTTCTGGCCTTACCATCAGATCAGGTCAACAATACCGAACCACTGTACTTACTATCAACGGAAATAGAAACACTTGCAAAGTTTCAAGTCAATATGACAATAAGAAGTAGGTTAAATTCATCATTAGCTATTTTTCCACCCTTAGGGGTGGTATTTTTTTTGAAATTTAAATGGGATCAATCTGGAAGTATACACTTTCAAACAACACAAAAATTGTTCAAATCGGTTAATAAATGACGGAGTTCTGAGGTAACAAACATAAAAAAAAACATACAGTCGAATTGAGAACCTCCTCCTTTTTGAAGTCGGTTGATTAAAATCCCACAAACAAGAACAACGTTTGCGTCAATGCAATTCGATAAAAGATCTGCACAATTATATAATAAAATTAACAGTTTCATTTATGTTTACCCCTACAATTACCATAAATGCAAAAAGACATTAATAGATTGGATAAAAACCCTTAGTTACCATGATATTGAAACACTGTTAGAATATATTCATTAAATACTCACGCACGCACACACACACACGCACACACACACACGCACATACACACACACACTCTCACACACAATACACAAACACATATACACACATGCACGCTAATTTTTTATTTCTACAAAAATTTGAAAAACTATTATATTGTACCAACTAATCTATTTAAGTTTGTTGTATTACCTATATTATAAAGGGCGGGGTCTCCTTATACATTATTTGCTTAAAAGGGGATCTCAACCACAAAATTTGTAAAAACTACAAACTCTTTATGCAAATAAAATATTATTATTATTATTAGATTTTTATTAATTTGGTTTTTGTTGATAAAAAATTAATAAGCAAGGCTGCGGCCACTAAAACTATGTACCACAACTATTCTAAATAAAATCCAATATTTTCCGTAACGGACACACACCATACACAGTATATATGTACAATGTGAAGTTTTATCTTTATTGACGAGTCTAGTCGTACCGACTTCTAAAATGCAAAAACTTTGTAAGTCTGTAAGTATTAAAGGATTTGGACATTTTCAATGTACTTTATTATACCACGCTAATGTGTTATTTCTACTTTTATATCAGTAAGTAGCGGCTCAACCTCGCTTCGGACGGTTTCGCCTCTAGAAAAGCAAAAACAAATCTACACCTCGGGAACCGTATATTTTTTCGAGATAAAAAATAGCCTATATGTCATTCCAGACTATAATCTATCTCTGTGCCAAATTTCATCCAGATCCTTTCAGCCGTTTTGGTGTGAAAGAGTAACAAACATCCATGCTCACAAACTTTCACATTTATAATATTATTATAGATGGGTTGCCAAAATGCTTTTAGCAAAAATGTAGCAATCATATTTGTGCAGTGATTTAGAAGTGATAATTATGGATATTGATAAATTGAAATTTATATCAGTACATAATTTCAGAATTTAAGCTTTATTCATATGTAAAGTAAACGAAACACAGTTTATTCGATTTCCATATATGGAAGTAGATAATTTACTTTTCAAGATACAATATATCTTAATATCATTTAAGGAATAACCTATTACTAAGGTCAACAAAGTTTCTCCTTTCACCGACCTCTGAAAATCTAAATTACGAAAGACACAAAATTATAAAATCGATTGTTATTAATATAGCTATCGCTGAAAAACCAAAATTATGTAGGTACCCACTGACCTGTGTGCCCGATGCTTATATAAAACGCAGTAGGCCAAACTTCAAAGTATCCATCTGTCATGCCAAAGATCAGGCTGCTGATGATAACCAGTGCCGTTGGCCATCCTATAACCACTAGCCAGTATGGAATACGAACTTGGCACTTGGTTTTATGGAGGTACCATCCCACTATCATTCCTGAGGAAATAAAAAGAAAAATATTTAGCTTAATGTTATAGGTCACTTTTATTATGGCGGCGGAAAGTAAATAGGTTACAATTTAAGTTTTTTACCTAATGATATCTGTCCAAATATGCGATTAAATTAGCAAAACTGTCTGAAATCTCTTTAAGAGTGCAGTCTCTAATTGTTTTACTATATACGATAACGAACTAGCGACCACGCAAGCTTGGCATTACGCAAGATAATGTGTAATAACTAATAATAAATATGAATAAATGAGGTCAACTTTAATGCCACCAATGGTTGGTTTCGCTGTTCGTCAGAAGTCTGAGAAACACGCACGGATTACATGGAGATACACTAATCCAACCGGATTGTAACAAAAATTTATGTAGCAAATATAAAAATTCTAAGAACCAGACACTAGGCGGTCATAAATAGACACATGAATAGTTTCAGCTTTCTAATTGTATAAGTAGAGTCTATAACAGAATATAAATTCTATGATAAAAGTTACGAGTATGTAAACATTCATTAGTTTAAAGAAAATAAATGCCGAAATATTTTTGAGTTTTGGTAATGGTTTTCTTTGATGGGAATACTATTTACCTTACACCGCTCTCTTATAACTTTAATCTTAATAAAACTTTAGCTTAAGATTATTTTTCGTTTCGTTTTTATATTTGAATGTATTGAAACTAAATGCGAGTCAGACTACCGTACAGGAGGTACAGGAACATCACCACATAAAAAAAAACATTTTGTTACGTGTATATCGCAATGAAAAGCAGTCCACAATGAGCTGTAGTGTAAACTATAAACCCTTAGCACGGGTGATTTTTTTTTATCCACTTAATGCTATAGTTAGTTTAGAGCACTATAACCAAAACAAGTTTGATGCTTGTATATTTTGCCGTTTTTACAACAAAATGAATGTAAGAAAACTTAAAAGAGAGAGAGAAATTAGGTAAACAATAGGAAGATGGTTTTAATATTACATTACCAATTATTACGTAAATTAAAAAATAATTTTTACCTACTAAATATGGACCAATACGAGACCAGGGTTTGTCATAAAGGGGATCGAACATTTCGAAGGGCTCTTGTATGCGAGCCTTATATTGATGCCAAACTGAAATATAAATGGTGGTTCCCCAGGAACTAACCATTATTAAAATCAGGGATGCCATTGCGATCTTCGTGTGTCTGTAACAAAATAATAGATTAAATAGATACAAAAATGATATTGCAATATTATGTCAAAATACTATTACTAACTTATTATTATTATTACATATTACATTAGCATATGCTCCATTTTTTTTTTGTTTTACATTTTTATATATCTCGGTCTTTTCTAATTTTTATTTTTATCAAATTATTTTAAATTTACACTTAACCGAATGAACTAACTTGAATCATAAATTAAGGCCTACAGTCTGATGTGAATTTTTAACCAAATTCCAAAAAGGAGGAGGCTATCAATTCGTCGGAATCTTTTTTTTTATGTATGATCACCGATTACTCGAAGACGCCTAAACCGATTTGGATTTTTTTTTGTTTCAAATGGTATATTCCAAGGTGGTCCCATATAAATTTTATCGAAATCGGTCAAATAGTTTTTAAAAAAAATCAACAGTAAATTATTTTTTAAATAAATGTTTAATCGAATATGTTATTAAAATCTTTCTTCTTACAAATTACCTGCTTATTACGTCTACACTAAAAATGGAAAAATACAAACTTAAAAAAAAATTAAAAACCGACTTCCAGGCACTAAAATGTAAAAAATAACTAAACGGGGGTTTTCATTTAGAATAGATACCTGATCAGATATTTTCAAAGTCAATGGGAGCCGATGCAAAGCAAATCTAATATATTTCGAAACGTAAAATTTATATTTACTTAGATATTCATATCTTAAAATATTGTAGGCTGGCACCGACTTCGAATATATCTGATTAGGTACCTATTTATTCTAAATAAAAACCTCTGTTTAGTTATTTTTTACATTTTAGTGTCTGGATGTCGGTTTCTATTTTTTTTTCAAGTTTTTGTATCCTGATTTTATAAACTTACTATCATATATTTTTTCAGTGTCAACGATCCACTAAATTCATAAAAGATTTATCCAATTATAATATGTAAAAATCGTATATAAAGAAAGCTCAGCACATTGCCCCAAGAGACTACCTGACAGAAGTTTTAAATTGCTTTAACAATCCATTCAGACATTCGAACCTAGCAATATCGTCGAGAGTTGAACTAAAGTACTTTACAATATCACATTGACATTATTACGGAGTATTGTTGTTTATCTAAAAATAACCTTTACCATATGTTTTGATTAGACTGAAAGATAGACAAAATTCTAAAAACTTTTGATTTTTGCATTCCTCTTTAAATAAACATTTTACGCAAGATTTCGAACATTAAAAATTCATTTTATAATATATACATACGATTATGTATGTGTGTATAATTTATATGTATATATTATAATACTTACTTAACAGATATTAGTAACAGTATTATGCCGACTACATAGAACTGCGTGTCGTTGGCCATATACCAAGACCACACCATGCACATCTCCTTTTGTGGAAATAGATTATTAATGTATAGCAAGTTTCTCCACCAATAATGATCACAAGTAATATGATCGAAGATAGCAGGCTCAAATACAGTATTATCGTAAGTGTATCGAAGAGCCAGTTCATTCAGGCCGATAACAAAAGCATACGCTGGAGTTAATCGAACGACTCTATATAGGAGAAGGAGCAGAAATGATTTTGTCATACGAAATATTTCCTGCTGAGAATATCCTTTTGGCGTCGGCTTATCGAGGATATCTTCGTAAAAGGATTCTTGGCTTATGACGGATACCGATAACGCGGAATTTGAAAAACCGTTGATATTCTTGTTTACGTCTTGATCGGTGCGTTTCGCATTTTCACCAATCTTTTTACTGGCTTTTTTGTCTTCAGTTCTCAAGAATAAGATAGTCACTAGTAGACCGCTGAAAAGTAAGACATTTTATTACATAATCTGAGCTTTTTATTTTGATTAAATATACTTTTTAATGAGTTTGTATAATTTCAGCCAAATTACCTGATGAAGAAGAATGTATCGACACAATAAGACGCATTGCCCACGGATTGGTAAAAGAAGTTACGTTCTGTCACAATTCGCATTGTTTTGTTGTCTGCCATGTAGAAAATAGTTAGATACGTGTGCACCATAATGACCCAAAGTACTGACAAAAACCTATGGAGGAAAATATGTATTTTACATAAATATAAGTATAAAGGATTATATAAAAATTATCGTTCACAATTTCTTAGTCCTCTTCAATACTAATAAGTAGATAAATAATAATATTTTAACATTTGCCTTGTCATGAATGTTAATACATGTCATATAAAAAATTCAGAGACTTTTTAAATCTAAAATGACCTAAGAAATTTTTATTTTAGAATCAACTATGCATATAAAAATCGACAAAGGTCTTTTGTAAAGTATTCGTTGCTCAAACGAATTCTTACCTCATGCCATGTAGACAGGTTAATGCTCCATCGTTGGGTTTCTGTGTACTAAGGATTGCTCGACCATTGGAAAGAATCGAGAACGATAGTAAAATTTCAGACCACATTCCTGAAATAAATATATTTCAATATATGATTTATAATCTATACTAATATTATAAAGATATTTCAATATATTATTTATAACCTATACTAATATTATAAAGAGGTTTGTGAGAGAGTTTGTGAGTTTGTGACGTTGTAGGGGGTAATCTCTGGATCTACAGAACCGATTTAGATGAAATTTTGTAAAATGATAGTTTGAAACTCTGGGAAGGACATAGGATACTTTTTATCCCGGCAATCTTAAAGGGGTGAAAATGGGGATGAAAGTTTATATTGGGAAGCCAGCTAGGGTCGAACTCGAACGAAGCGAGGGTGAGTCGCTAGTATATTAATAAATACTATCAGATAAACTATGAGCTGGAGTAACAATAACTTAGGCTACTGCCTACTGGCACTTAGACTAATTATAAGTAGCTAGTAATGAATATATCAAGAAAGTAATTTCCTTGAGGTTAATAGTTTTTTTTTACTTGCCACAAATTTCTCGACGTAAATCTTTATCTCTGACTTCTTCTTCGATTTCTTTTGTTTCCTCTTTTGAATTGTTATTATTCTGAAAACGTGTATCCGTTTATAAAATAGTATTTATTATATGACTAAAAAAAATAAAAATAACAAAAGCTTTACAAAAGTTAAAACAATCTTATAACATATTATAAACATACTATAATGTATTAAAATAAAATGTAAAAAAATATACTACAAAATGATGTACCAACAGTGGGTTTTTGGTTATTGTTGGCGAGCTCCAAATCTTTTTGCTCCTTTTTGCGATATCGTCTCTCCAAATAGCCTTCGTACAAAGATGCGACGAGCATCCATAATGTCACGATAATTATCGCCGCTCTGGTATGGAACATAAAATAAGATATTTAAGAAAATAAATACTAAGTACCAATAAACAGCCATATTAAGATAACATTTTAAAAATGTATTAGTATGTCAATTTGTTGAAAAATACATAAGATGATATAGAATGTGTAATAAATAGCGGTATTTGTGACAAATTGCGGTGTAATAGCCATCGCACACCCATTAATCACAATTACGGACTATGATGAAATTTCATACTTAGGTCTGATTTATAACCAATGGAAAATATAATTTATAGTGATGGAGCTTGAATTTGTAGAGAGTTTATTGTCTTTTTATGGTAGACTGAAAATTTATGGAAAAAGCACAGTTTAAGAATATAAATTTGCATTTTATTGTACTAACAATAATTTATTATATGTCCGTAAAATTACATCCAAATGTCCATCCAAATTGATCGCTTTCAAAATCGTTTTCGAAGATATTATTAAATAACTGTTTTTTTCTCATCAGCAATTGTATTGGTTATAAAGAATAATGCCACTATTTGGAAACAATAACAAATGAGGATCAGTATCCATTGACGATTCAATAATAAGCGTGTCAAGACCTATTTGACCAACGTCAAAAGAGGATAACAGTGATCATGAATATATGTACAATGATTTTTGTATATATTAGTGAATTTTGAACCGATCTTCATAATATATATTTTTTAAATAAAATAATCTCAGGAATATATCTCACCCCAAGAGTTAAATAATTATCTGTGGGTTTATATATTGTCATAAGTCATTTTAGTAAAGTCGGCAAACATTTTTAGTTAAAAAGTACTTATTGGTTTACTTTTTTTTCAATACATGCTTAGTACTAAATAAATTTAAAGTAAGATACGAAACAAAATCGAAGTGAATACTTCATTCTGAAACGTACGTTCTTGATATACAGTATTTTAATCAACTTAAAAGCGAATGTTCGACGTTTTTAATGTTATTGTAAAGCAACATACTGGCATTTGTATATCTAGGAATATAGCTAGGAAAGCTATAAAAGCTTTAGCTGTTTAGTTAACAACAAAATAGCGCTATTATCCGACTATCGGAAGCAAGATAGTTATTATGTGAGCAGACCCTGAACAAAGCAATTTAAAATAACGAGCCCGCTGCAGACGATGCAACGAATAACTTGGCAGATTGTATCTGGATTACGCTCATACACTGCGAGTACAAGAGTATCAATGTTGGGTGTTGGTGTCTTTAGAGTTTTCGATCTATTAAATGTTTTAAATTTAATATGTATTATATGATCTGTAGTTTAAACCGTTGGCAATGTGCGTGTACCATAATCTACAACGGGGTCCTTTCATAAGTGTCCGGGAAATACAGCTGGGTGCAAAGCCAAGAAACGCACTGGGAAGGGACCCACTTCGGTGGATGGTGTGTGTGCAGGTTACATCTGGTACATCTCTGGTATGTAGCAGAGTAGTCTGTCCCCATGATTTTTGTGGTCTGCTTTGGCAGAGCAGCCATAGTGGCGTCGTGGTTGAGTGCGTAAGCGATCTCGCGACGCCCCATTAAGACGGGGAGGTTTTATTGGGTCTTAGTGGGTAGTCCTGGCTTCTCAAGCCGGTGAGTAGACATAACTACTTGTACTAGAGTTCGCCGAGTGGTCGAACTTCGACCATGATTGTTATTGATTAATTTTATTTATAAAATTAAAGCTCGTCAATATCTATTACACTAAAACTAAAAATAAACATATCGGTTCACAAACAAAATGTTTATTTTAATTTATTTAATGTATTTCTAATGTATTTTATATAAAAATATTAGCATTCTGCACTCCTTCTCTATATAAACTATAAATGTGGGAAATTTACCATCTACGACTGCGTACCACTTACCATCAGGTGGAACGTAGTCAAGCACTAATTCAGAATACTATAAAAAAAAATCATACGCCTCCGTCCGCGCAATATAATATATATGCCAGTTAATTTAAAATTAATATTATGTTGTTACAAATATATATTATGAAACTTATAGAACTTACCCAAGTATATGCATTTTGGGGTCAGCCATTAAAGAGTAAGAGCCGGGTACAGCACGTACATAAAGTGTCGTAATCTTCGCATCGATGCCCACTAAAGCAGCCGCAGTGCTGGCCATTTCTTCTGCTCCATCCAACAACGTCTTAACGGCATCTTTACTGCAAGAAGCAGGCATACATTGACCGACCAACATCGGTCTCGTCTGTGGAGAATAGATTCATTTAAAATTAATCATGTTTGAATCTCAAGAGCGAGAATACTTCATTGTAGTTTTTTGGGTCTTGAAAAACTTGATCCTTCTTATAAATAAATTAATACTAATTAATTTTATAAAGGGTTAATTTTGAAAAGAAAAGTATGTTTATATTTTTCCTGCAAAACTTTAATATTAAGTGATAATAAAGTGCGTCAGAAAAAGGCTCGTTATAAAGAAAAAAATAAAAAAATAAAATGACATTGACGGAACTTAATACATATTTATATAGTTCAATTATGATTTGATTTGATTGAGGAGATAGGATATACATATGTATGTAGGTACCTATGTATAAAAATAAACTTATAAATTTCGTATCTACTTTTTGCTGTACTTAAATGACACTAAAAATATATATAGTATTATTTAACAAAATCATACATATAAAGGAATTGTAATATATCACATTTTACATTAGATAAAAAAGCCGTAATGTAAAAAAATGCCATAAATTGTGCTTTCATACGTTCGAAAAAGATTGCTTAGATGAATTGAACGCCAGCTCGTATAAAATATTTAACTATATTGCCCCTACAAATGACTTGCCAATAAAAGCAAATGTGATCAATAAGTCATAATCGTTAACGTCCTATACACACGATATATCAAATAAAATAGAACAAAAATAGACTTTGCTGGTCTCAAATGGTCGCAAATGGAGTAATTAGTATCGCAAGTGTACCTATAAGCAACTTTATCATGTATTTTATTGTATACAGTTCAATAAACTGGGTAAAAGTGGTCGGGGAATTTTGTATAAATTTATTGCAAGCTCGGGAAACAAAACTTTTAATATAAAAGTCATGTTGCGAAACATTCTGAGTTATTTACGTCGAAGAACATTGTCATGTCAGCAATTTTGCTTTGAGCGTGTCTGCAGTACTAATAAAACACGAATATTATTTATATTTATTGTGTCATTATATCCTTACTAGCGACTCACCCTCGCTTCGCTCGGGTTCGTCCCTAGCTTGATTCCCCATACAAATTTTCACCCACATTTTCACTTCGTTTAGGGATGATTTCCAGGATAAAAAGTATCCTATGTGCTTTGCATGGTCTCAAACTATTTTCTTACCAAATTTCATCTAAATCGGTTCAGAAGATCCAGAGATTACCCCTACAACGTCACAAACTCACAAACTTTACCTCTTTATAATATTAGTATAGATTAAAAATTATCAATTATTATTTTATGTAAATGCTACGAAAGTGTATATTATAATAATATTATAATAGCCAATAATGCCGAGTGCATGACTAGCTATCATAATACCAGATATAAAGATAGAATATCAAAATCATTGAAACAAAGATCATGGATTCAGTTACGTATGTACCTAACGCATGCCAAATAGTAGATATTACAGGCCACTGGCTGGTGTTATATGGGAAAATCACAAAACTCTATGAAGCATTTTTGTTAAATTTAAAAATGCTAGCAGATCATAAAAGTCTAGCAATTACGATATCGACATGCATATAAAGGGATAGCACTTAATAGCATTACAATTAATTGGATCGGAAGACAAACAAAGCGCAGTGTTTGATTGATATTCATTGTATACTATACTGTATAGTGATGTCTGCACTATAGCTTACACGTGCGAACTATGAACAATCTGGTGAACGTGGTAAACACCTACATGGCCTATCCAATTACCCAGTGCCAAATTCTCACTGCGACTTCACCTAGCCATTTATCGATTTATTTGACGCTTACTTGGCGCAGTGGGTAGAATCTCTGTTTCTACGCTAATCGCTGGTTCGATTCCTATCAAGAAAATATATATATCAGACTATACTATTATAATTGCGGAAGTTTGTATGTATGTGGGAGAGTATTTGTTTCTGATTTATATTGAAACGGCTGGACAGATTTGAATGAAACTCAGTACACAGATAAATTATGAGCTCGAATAACGCATAGGCTACTGTAAGATACCTATGTACGCTATTTCGCCATATGTGTACATAATATGTATTAGTCATGGTAAATTGTACTTCCATGTATTTTGACGAGGTTTTCACAAATTCTTAATACAGGCAGCAGAAGATGTTGCGTTAATTAATTACCTGTGGTATATGCTCTCCATCAATAGTGAGGTTAACCCTGGCCACATAGAACGAGGTGGCAAAGGGTGGTGTCTGTGCATAGTACTGTTTGAGCTGCAGATCGCGGCATGCATTCCATGAGCCCAGCCAGAAGTCGTTACCGAACAAGACGTTGGGACTATAATGGCCTGATGAGTCGAATACTGAAAGAAAAATGGTAATTAAATATTGTGAATGAAATTTAAATTAAAATGTTCTAATTTTGTAACACGTTTGGCTTAGTTTGTAGTGACCCTACAATTCAATTTAATTCAATTTAATTCAATTCTGTTGGAATAGTAAACATAAAATATTTAATTGTAATTTTATACATGAATAGTTCCAACCTCTTTGTTAATTTGTGTGCCTACTATTTATTTTTCTATTTAAATTTGTCATATTCCATGTCACTGTAAAAAGTATTACCGGGCAATAAACTTTCTCTTTTATTATAATTGATTTTCTACATGTTATGGGCCCTGTCATATACTTAAATAGATTTAAAGTTTAATATTTACTGCCATAAAATACTATACAGTCGTTGATATTAGTAATTTGTGAATATTCTATCGAACGTCAATCCGAGTACAATGGCTATGTCTAACTTACAAATTGAGAAATTAGCCGGACGGGAAAATTATTCGACATGGAAGTTTGCGGTCAAATCTTATCTAGAACATGAGGATTTGTGGGAATGTGTCGATCCCGGCACCGATGTCGACAAAAAAAAGATACAAAAGCCAAGTCAAAAATCATTTTGTTGGTGGAACCAATAAACTACGTCCATATTGAAAAAGCACAGTCATCTAAAGAAGTATGGACGAACCTACAAAATGCTTTCGAAGACTCCGGTTTATCAAGAAAAGTCGGCTAATAAGCCAACACAACACAATAGTGAGATTTAATAAACATATCGCTAGATAATTTCGCGAGCGTCGAAGACTACGTGAATTATATTATGAGTACTGCATACAAATTACGAAATATCGGTTTTGATGTAGATGACCAATGGTTGGGAACACTCCTGCTGGCGGGTTTACCAGATAATTACAAACCTATGATCATGGGTCTGGAAAGTTCCGGCATTAAAATTTCGGCAGACTTCGTCAAAACAAAACTTTTACAAGAGGTTAAAGTTTCCGAGTCTTCTGCATTCTTCACAAAGCACTAGAATACCTCTAATAAGAATAATGCCAAGCCAAAAGGAAAAGGCCCACGCTGCTTTAATTGCAACAAATATGGACATTTTAAAAATCAATGCACAGTGAAGAAATCTAACCATAATACTTTTTCTGCAGTTTTTTCAGCTTACAGCAATGTAAATGAAGATGATTGGTACATTGACTCAGGTGCCACAATGCACATGACAAAACATTCTGACTGGATGTATGATTTACAACCATTTCTGAATCAGGAAATAAAAGTGGCTAATAATGAAATCTCCGTGAAAAATATGGGTAAAGTAAATATTCAGACCATATATTGCAAAGATAAGTGTCCTAGAAATGTTTAATATATTCCTGAGCTGAGTCCAAACCTGTTATCGGTTAGCTTATAAGTATTCGTCACAGTATACTGTGACGCGACTAATAACTTTGAAAACATCGATCTGATAGAGTGGCTTGAATATTTCATTTATAACTTCAAAGGGTAAAGTTTGCTGCGGGTCGCGAGTCATGTCGAACTTATGAATATAGCATGAAGTAGTACTTTAGCGCTTTTCACCACTATTGATATAAACAAGTTCACATATTCCCAACTTTTGACTGTAGTATATATTTTGTAAAAACCAGCTGTGGCTTATAGCTCTATCTGCGGAAGGGATTTCGATCATTTTTATTGTTATTTCTTCCTAATAGCTAATTTTAGAATATCTTTCCAATTACAGTATTGAATCTGACAACGATCAATATTTTTCCCAGAATTGATCTTAAACAGGGTTTTGGAAAATATAAACTAAAACTTAATGTATTTTTGTTTATTAGACATCCATCCTCTATCACAAGAAACATTTGTTTACCACTCAGAATGTGTATTGCAAAATTGATTTTTATTGTCTATTAAAATTTCCAATTCATATATCAAATATTTTTTCTGCAAAATACCTCCGTTACCAGGCCTAAATATATTTATCTTATACTTACTCTGTAATAGCCTATGCCACTTCAATATCGAATCCATCTCTATATCGCTGTTTTAAGCAACCATCAACTTTAGTTATCCACGATTTCAAAATCCCGTGAGCACGGATTGACAGATAGATGTGATCCATCTGCCAATTAGTGTTTACAGATGTTTTTTTTAAATAAACTGACTATGAGCAACTTAATATTTGAATAGAGCGAAAAAAATAATAATTTTAATTGCTTAATTGTTTATAGCTAAAATAGCATTATACTTCCATCAGCAATATATTCCTTCTATCAGAAAATTCTTCATCCAGTGAAAAGCTCACTTCACATATAATACTAGGTGGTATAATTTTTACAGTCTACTTTTATGTTTCCTAAAAACTACAGCCTCTCCCAGTCTTTATTTTTCTGTAAAATCTACAGTACAGATTTATAAGATCACAAAATATGTGCATAAAAATTTAACCATTTTTGTTTAATCATCCATAAATTTTTAGGTGCCTCTGTTTACTGATTTTCATTAAAAAAAGGCAATTTTACACAAAATATTAATTTAAGCTAATGTAAATCCTAGTTGTATTTCCTGTTATTTATGCCTTAAGCCATTTATTAAATTGGTGAGTTATGGGCTGCGAAAATGAGGATCTTACGGCTCCCGTGTACAAAGTCTATAAATATTTCCTATAGGCGACGAGAGCCGACCATAATTACATTTATAAAATGTTTAGCGTTTAATGTTGCAACTGTTTTATTCAGAATCGATACGAAAACGCGAGTCAAGAAGGAGTTTACTCTAAACCATTGATAATGAAAATTCAAGTAAGTATTGTCTTGATAAGATACTATGATATAATACCAACTATGAAAGATTAGTCAGTATAAATTGTACATTAATGTGATGTAAAATATAAAAGACTAGTGAGAGAAGTTTTTTTTTATATTTTACGAGTATTTATGCTGCACAATTTTAACTTGTTTTAGACGTCAATGTCATGTATAACTGAGTACTTGCTTGGATAATGCTTGCTGTACACGATGATTTGCTTTAAGATCTATGATTTTTTTTAATATCACGAGTGATACTTGAACCTGTGACCTGCGGGATAGGTCTACGGGAGTGTGACAACTGATATGTGGATAATCAAAAATGATAATTTATTCAAAGTCAAAGTTTAAAAAAAAATGACAGAGGATATTTTGGTTTAATCGGGAATTTTTTCAAGTTGACTTTAAGAGTTTTACAATTATTATTAGTTCGTCTATATATATCTAAGTTCTACACACTACCATAATAAGCCGAAGTTAGTTACGATGATTGCAGACTAACTAGATATATGTACATGCATGCAAGAGAAAATCAATTATTATCATTATAATATATAGATTGGAATGGCATTATATATAGATTGGCAGTGGTAGCCCAGTGGTAACGCGCTAGCTTGGAAAACCGAGTGAAGCGGGTTCAAATCCCGGGTCTCGAACCTCTGATATTTTCATCTGCGAATCATGTCTAACATGATTACCATTTGCCTCACGGTGAACACCGTGAGGAAACCTGCATGTCTGAGAATCTAGCAAGTTTTCGAAAGACATGTGAAGTCCAACCCGCACTTGGCTAGCGTGGTGGACTGTGGCCTGATCCGGGACCCTCGTATTAAAAGGAGGCCCGTGCCCAGCAGTGGCACCTTAAAAAGGGCTGAATAGAGATATATGTAGATGGGAATATTGATTTTATGATTACTACTGATACATAAATGATTCATAAGTAACATATAAATATTAAAAATAAAAATAAATATGAGCTGGTTAATTATCTTGTCTGATCAGTTTGATTTATTCTTATAATCTATCTTTCATCTATCCAAGATGTCACGGCAATTTTGATGTATTGCCATTGTACAATATTCTATTGGTTTAGGTGGGATAATACAGAAGGGTACAGTGGGTAGAGTACACATAATAAAATGGGAAGAAAGTGCACAACTAAGTTTTTATAAAAATTGAGTTATATAAGTGCCAAAATTCAATTTATTAAAGAATTATTTGACTAGGTTGAAATTTTATTATTAATCTCAGCCATAATTCCACTCTATAAATGAAAGGTATAAAAAGTAGATGTGCCTTATAATTTTAGTTTTCATGTATCCTTGAGAAAATTAAATGAAAAAATAAAATTACAATTGACCTGTCCGTTTAAGTAAGTATTTTTAGCTACTCGAATTAGTTATGTAATATCAAACTACTGTTATGAAAATGCGAAAGATTGTATGTTTGTTAGATGTAGACTATGACCTAACAAAACACAGGCTACTGTTAGGCATCTAGTTTTGATAATAAATGTTAAAGCGCTAAAGTGTATTTTTTCTACAATTAAATACAAGTTTTCTCAAAGTTTATATAATGTTATATGTATCTACTTTTTTACATTATGACTGCAGTGTTTTATGTTTAAAATTTACCTTATATTAAAAAAAATCGCCATGTCTTGTACTCTATTTATGTTTTTTGATTTACTAAGTTAAAGAAATAGTAGATTTGAAATTATAGTTTTCCATACTGAATGCTAAATGTGATCAAAACACAAATCTTCTACAAAAGCTTCTCAGTAAGAGTCTTTGAATAATTGAGTTAAATATATATGTATAAAAACTTATAACTTTTTACATTTTAGTGCCTGGAAGTCCGTTTTTATTTATTTTTTTAAGTTTTTATTTTTCCATTTTTAGTGTAGACGTTATAAGCAGGTAATTTGTAAGAAGAAAGTTTTTTAATAACATATTCGATTAAACAATTTATTTAAAAAAAATATTTATTGTTGATTTTTTTTAAAACCGCTCGACCGCTTTCGATAAAATTTATATGGGACCAACTGGGAAGTATACCCTTTGAGACAAAAAAAAATCCAAATAGGTTCAGGCGTCTTGGAGTAATCGGTGAACATACATTAAGAAAAAAGATTCCGACGAATTGAGAACCTCCTCATTTTTGAAAGTCGGTTAAAAATACAAAGTACATATAATTGATCATGCTGT